CATCTGCCTCCCGAGTGCTGGGATTAAAGGCGTGCGCCACCACGCCCGGCTAGCTTGAGTCTATTTTAAGGGCAAGAGCAGACCCGAAGTACTGAGCACCTGTTTCTTCATATCTCTTTCAGAATTGTGCTCCTAAGCAAGAACTTTGTTCATTCTTTATTGAAACAGTACCTCCAGCATGAAATGGGGAAGAAGTCAGGAATCTTGCCCTTTGGTCCCTAGGCCTAGAATATCATATACATTCAATTTTTCTCATTTGCAATGAGAAAAGTACACTGCTTTCAGCACTTTAATATGTAAAGCATGCATGTATATATTCATATATCATCTTTGGTGGAGAATAAGGAGGGGTCCTGAAGGATTAATGTCATATGCCCATGTCACAAGAGGAGCACATGACTCAGTGAGCTTGTTTACATTATAAACAGTAACATTTTGGTTGCAAGGCCAGGTAAAAGTCTTTAGTGCAGATTATGTCCATATTGTAAAAGTCATTCCTACACATTAGAACTTCCGATTCCTATTTAACTATAAGTTTGTGCCCATTGATTAACCTGTCTTCAGGTAATTTAGCACATTAACATACTAATAGAGAAGACTGGTATAATAAAATTTGATATCCATTCTTTTTTAAAGATTTATTTAAAAAAATTTTTTTTGTGTGTGTGTACATGAGTGCAGGTGCCTATGGAGGCAAGAGGTATTGAATCCTCCTTGGAGCTGGAGTTATAAGTGGGATGGAGTGACATTGGTGCTGAGAACTTAACCCAGGTCCTCTGCAAGAGCAATACCTTCTCTTAACTATAGAGTCATTTTTCTAGCTCACTCAATTCTTGATTTTAAACTATTTTATCTATTTATTTATTATTTTATGTGTGTGAGTATGAGTGTATTGCTTGTCTGTATATGAGTGCACCCATGTTGTGTAATGCCCACAGAGGTCAGGAGAGAGCATCGGATTCCCCTGGAACTGGAGTTATAGACAGTTGTTAGCTGCCATGTGGGTGCTGGGAATTGAACCCGGGTCCTCTGCATGAGCAGCCAGTGCTCTTAACTGCTGAGCCATCTCTCCAGCCCCTATTCTTGATTTTTAAAAGTACCAAGTCGATAAGCCGGGCATGGTGGCACACGCCTTTAGTCCCAGCACTCGGGAGGCAGAGGCAGGTGAAGCTCTGTGAGTTCAAGGCCAGCCTGGTCCACATAGTGAGTTCCAGGACAGCTGGGGCTACAGGGAGACCCTGCTTCAAAAAGACAAAAAAAAAGTACCAAAGGTGAATACAACTCAAATTCTTTCTAAAACTCATCATAGTATTGTCACTGATTAGTAAGTAGCATCTAGAATTACTCAATTTGAATTGGGTCCTTAACCTTTAGTCTTTCTTTGTCTTGTTTCATGTATTTCCAGAATTTTACTTTGACTAATTAAGATGGAGACTGTGTTTTCTTTGTGTTGGGACTTCCCACTGATGATGTCCAGAATATTTGAATTTAGTTTTGGGACTGGGGATATAATTCAGTGTTAAAGTTTTTGTCACACACACACTAAT